ACTCGTGCTCACGACACCAACTTCGACATCTAGATTTTATAGCTCACGTCATTGATATACGGCCGATTTGAAATTTTCTTTTCCAACTGCTTTTAAAGGCCCGCTCTTCTGCTTAGCATTTTCTTAAATAATAATAATAAATTTGATTCTTATCTTCTTGCATTAAAATTGCGACCAACAACTAAGAAGAAAATCTCCAAAAAAGAGAGCGAGAAGTTAAACGCCGCTCAATTTAAAATCAGCAGCCGGTTCTGAGAACGTAGTAACACACGCTTTTACACGTAAGCTCCATTGATCTCCCTCCACTAGATTTCCCAGGCATGCCTTTAAGAAATAATGATGAGTTATAAAGACTACTCAGCAAAAGTAGAGATTCCAATATAACCCTACAGCTGCAGCCAATGAAGCTGGATAGCCTACATCTAATGTATTGTGACAATAGCCACTACAGAGTTCGCCCTTATGTACCAAAAGACTTTCTAAAAAGGATTTTCCCATCCCTTCACAATTTTACACACCCTGGTGTTCGTGCAGCTAAGCAACTCGTCTTAGGGGCCGTTCAAAAAGTACGTACACAAAAATGGAGAAATTTCAAACCCCTCCCCCCCCTTCGTACATTACCGTACATAAGGTCTTACTCCCCCCCCCCTTAGAGTACGTACATTTTATTAGTCTACCCCCCTTTTTCATAAAAATTAAAATAATTATGTTTTAAATAAAATTAAATATTTACTTAAGGAGTGTGTAGGATAAAGTCAAATTTAAATTTGGTGTATGTTTATAAAGTACGTACTTTGTATAATACCTCCCCCCCTCCCCATCGTACAAAACCGTACATAATAGCAAATCCCCTCCCCCCCCTTCGGAATGTACGTACTTTTTGAACGGCCCCTTATCACCTTTCATATGGACATCTATAGCCAAAGATGTTGTGGAATGGACTAGCTCATGTAATAGTTGTCAGAGTCAACCGCTACATCTACTCTCCTCTGCAATCCTTCCAACTGCCATCTCAATGGTTCGACTATATGATTATAAAACTTGTTGGAGTAAATCAGCATATTCTCCAGAAATAATTACAAGATCTGGTCGGAGAGTTCCCTTTAATCCTAGTATTTGTAGAAGGGGGAGTACTATGGCGGATGAGCCTAGCCCTTCGAAAATAACTTCAACTTATAACTGTCTAAAAGTTATAGTTGGACAAGACGAATCATCAAAGTGATTCGGTAATGAAATTGATAAAAATGATTTCGTCTTTTATAAAATTAACTTTAAATTTTTTTTAACATTTTTTCGGCAGATTTTATATGCCTCAATATCATTTTATTCTCTTCTAAAAAAAACTTACATAATTATTCCTCGCATTTGACTTTTTGTTGAAGGGATGATTCAAAATTATCTTTTTAACTTTGATACGAATATAGTTCAAAAAAAGTTAAGATCAGACCCTGCTTGGTGCGTTCACCAACCCCTGAATTGGGTTTGTAATTTCTAATGAATAGCTTTTTTAATACTAACATATTTAGTCTAACTTCCTATGAATAGTGGTACATTTTTATACTCATGTTGTGAAACCTTGGATTCATAAACTTTTTGGTGGGCCGTAAAAATCTTGTCACTTTAGTACCTGTGTAAGCACATTATTTTCATATAATCCCAATTAGTTAAGCATCCCTAGCTCCAATAACAGCTTAACAAGCACCGATCACAGTGGTGACGTAATATATAGTCAGTGGCAGACGGATTTTAGGATTAGAGTCCCTTTGCTGTCGGGCTAACCACGGAAGATTTTCCTCTCCATGTAATGCGAATGTGGGTTAGTTCGCCACTAAAGCTAGTTTGATCCAGGAGCTCCCTTATTTTGTGTTGTGCTCAAAATTACTAAGCTACAGAGTTACATTTTGATAATAGTCAAAAACCACTACCTATTTTGTAAAAAAAAAAAAAAATAATAGCATTAGAAAAATAAAATGAACACTAGAATACATGGGTGTTGCTGAAGAGCTAAAGTTGCTGAGAATCATTTAGAAAAAAATGTATCTTTTTTTTTTCTTCTCAGAAGAAGGTGTGGTTTTTCCAATCTATTAGTATACAAATTATCGTTACTCTTTCTATCGTAAACAACCAATGTTCCTCTTTTTTTAGCCGCTCCCAACTCTCAAAAATAATAAATTCTAAGAAGGGAGCTGATCGACAGACTGTAGGCTCTGCATTAATTTAGATAACGGTAGAGATTTTATTGCTATTTTCTGTTTCAATTGATTTGCTTTTTCTTTTTTCTGAAAGCGCTGGTTTTTTTAAAAGGATGATTCGTATTTTTCGTCTTCAATTCTTCTAATACTAATTTTTTTTTGTTCCTATACGATACTTTTGATAGTTCTAATATCACATTTTATATTTAAAAATATTTAGGCTTCTACTCTTAGCATATCTGTAATAGTTTTGTGACGAAGCAATTAATATTTTTTTTAAATTTTTATCAAAAATGGTACATAAGACTAATTAAAACGAAATATTCGGATCAAATGACTCAGATTATTGATTCGAATCATGTGATTGCGATTAGTGATTCAAGTCAAGGGATTCAGAACAGTCATTCGGATCAAACGATTCAGATCAGTGATGCGAATCAAATGATTTGGATAAATGATTCGAATCAAATGACGTTGTTGGCGTATGCCTGTTTAGGCAGAGGGGGTACGATTGTTCTTGTTTTCCAGTGGCGCCATCTATGGACAAGAATTCGACTTCTGCCACACCATACGTCGCGTCGCACCCGTTTATAGGGCGGATCTATTCATCCACAGATCGTAATTTTGACCTGAATCAGAGAACGATCGATCTCCAATCCAGTACCCCCAGAAGTTTTGATTTGTTATGGGAACATGGAGGACTTTTGCGACTCGACAGATTTAACAAGCATTAGTCACTTAATTACACGGGAAGTCTTCGGTCGGCGGGGTTCGAATCCACGAACTCTCGGACATGTGCCCAGCGCCCTACCGATCAGGCTATCCCGGCCTATCAAATAACTTGGATCAATGATTTAAATCAAGTGATTCAATCATGTGGTTCGGATCATTGTTTGAATAAAGTGATTCGAATCAAGTAAAATCAGATCAGTGATTCGAATTATACGATTCGAATCAAGTGATTCAAATCATGAGATTGTTAAGAAATGATTCAGATCACTGATTCGAAACATGCGATTCGGATCTGATTCGAATCGGATCTATGATCGATAAAGACACTGAATCGGAGCGTTGATTCGAATCAAGTGATTTGAATTATTGATATTTATGACGTGATTCAGATCACTATTCAAATCAAATGATTCATATCAGATTTGAAACACGCAATCTGGATCAGTAATCGAATCAAGAGCTTCAAATCGGTGAATCAAATGCGATTCGGATCATTGATTTGAATCGCTTCTGGCTTTTAGGCCAATGTTCGACACGATTCTCCTGTAAACATTGTCCTTTATAAATCCCCAAAGAAAAAAGTCCAGCGGCACTATATCAGGTGATCTGGGTGGCCAAGGAATTGAACCTCCTCGCCCAATCCATCTTCCTGGAAAATGGTCATTCAAAGAACTACGAACGATGAGGTGGTGCACCATCTTGTTGCAAAAAGACATGTGGCTGAAGCTCTTCTAGTTGTGGAAATACGAAGTTATCTCATAATTTTGA